AACATAAGAACCACATAATTCACTCCTTTTAAAGGAAAAACGCACAGCTCAACAATATATTAGAATAAAAAAACTGAGATCACCGAACCATGTAACAGTGTGGGTAATTATATTATGTACTATATGCATGTTTGGTGCAGCCAAATGCAAACAAAACTGGAGGTGCACATCTACTTATTATAGCAGTTCCATATACAAAATTTCAATATTCTGAGGCTACTCGTTTTTGAGTTATGCGAGATACATACATACGTACGTACAGATGTGATGAAAAATGTCTCTTCTGAATCTATTTCATACTACGTTTGGACGAAAACGGTCCTTTGTTTTATCCGTACGTAGAGATGTAACTCAAAATAGCATCGTTCAAAATGGAATCGAGAGCCCTGAAAATGGATATTTTCTTTGAAATACGATAGCCGAAATTTTTCGCGATGACAGTACTTCCTTTACTTGGTACAAGGAAGTAAAATGGGCTTAAAATGGAACATATACAAGGACTTATAATGAAGAAAAATGACCCACTCATTCACTGGTTACTTGTGAAATTCACAGTGAAATTTTAATTGGACTGATAATATTTTGAATTAACAATTTTTCAAGCTTGTGATTTTGCGATTCTGCATACGTTTTGAGTTCTATATCTTGAATTCTGACCGTTTTTTGGGCTGTTTATGCAGGAAACCTCCCTTGACATGAACTCCCTTAACATGAATTGTGAACTGTTTTTTAGTCCCCTGCGTCGTTAGATAACATCATTTAACACGAACTTTCAAATATTTTCATACGTTGTTTCTCTGTTAGGACTGCGTTCAGAAATATTTTGCTCTGTTTTATTGAAACTGCTTTAGCACAGTCTGGAGACATAAAGACGTTAATCCTGTTAATGAATTAGATGGTGACAAAGGTGATCAACACTTCGCCTGACGAACTGAACAGTCTACAAGACGTGAGAACCTTGGTGTTAGCTTTGAGAAGTTATACGTGCTGATGGTGCTTCAGTGGAATCTGATATAGAAGCAGTTGCGTCCGAGGTGCAAGGAGTGTCTTCAGAAGAAAGTGAGGAGGACAGTATCATTCCGCCCACCAGCTAGGAAATGTTCCACGCCTCGGACAATGTAGAACGTTTTTCTGCCACTTGATGTTGCAGAAAAACAATAGTTAGTTTTACGGCTAGTTTTGACTAATTGGTAGCTAGTTTGGCTGACTTTAGTCTAATTGACAGCTAGTTTCACGGAAGCTAAGCATATAGTTGGCTTTGATGTTACCAGCCATTTTCATTCCCGTTTGTGACAGCACAATATACAACAATTTTTCACCAAAAATGATTTGCAAGTGTATTTTTTCAAGTTGCAATACAGTAATTAATGCAGTATTGCAGCGTTTTTTATGAAGACATATGTAATATATTGCAGTATAGGTCGACCGCCTCATCCGCGACCATGAGCGCAAACACCCATGCGCCATTCGTACAGAATTATTCTCATAATAGGATGGAAGAATGGGAACTTTCTTTTCCTCGAACATATAAAGAGCATATTGTTATGGAAAAGCGAGGCCTGTCACGTGACTTTTAACGTCCCAGCAAGAAATAACGCCCATTTTTTGGTAGAATGCCAGTCAAAATTGCGTTTGAGATGGTCGTACTATGCTTATGTAACTATACAGGGTGTACCGTAAATGTTGCGACAATCTTCTAGGGTAGGTAGGGCACATCATAAGGATTAAGAATTGCATAGGAATCCATGCTCGGAAATATCAGGGGTAAGTGGTAGCAGAGGTAGAATATGGGAAAAGAAACAAGAGTGATTAGTTTGAAACATTTCTTGGACATGCATACAAATGGTGTACGACGGCTTGAATGTTACAACAGATGCTGAAAGTTTGCATCATCAGACGCAAAACATGCCTGACACCGACGGACCATTCATTGCCGGAGATGTTCAAATACACGGGGAGTTTTTTTTTTATTGTAGCAGCTGCGCGGGCGAGTCTTGCCACGAGATCCATTTCATTCACAACAGGATTGTGATACAAGACACTTTTGATGGCTTCCCACATACAGAAATCAAGGCTGGATAGATCCGGTGAGCGTAGGGGCAAAGGAACTTGTCCACCACGCCCTGTCCTTTGATGCCGGAATGATCTGTTCAAATAGCTATGAACATCCAGTCCATAATGAGAACGGGCCCCATCATGTTGGAATCACATGTTGCGCTTCACATTTGGTGGAACATTGTCAAGCAAAACAGGAAGAACCTGCTCCAGAAAGATCAAATAATTCGCGGTATTCAAATAGTCCGTCGGTGTAAGGCATGTTTGGTATGTTTGATGGTGCAAACTTCGAGCACCTGTTGCAACATTCAAGCTGTCGTACACCATTTGTATACATCTCCAATAAATGTTTCAAATTAATCACTCTTGTTTCTTTTCCCATATTCTACCTCTGCTTCAACTTTAGCCTGAAATTTTTGGTTATAAGTTCCTATGCAATTCTTAATCCTTATTATGTGCCCTACCTCCCCTTGAAGTTTATCACAGTATTTACGGTACACTTTGTATACTGTAAATGATTCTTGTGTAGAATAAAATTATTCCAAAAATAAAATTTGACTCTTCAGTTAACACGAATGTTTTTAAACACGAACTCTTGATTTTTCGGTCCCATGAAATTCATGTTAACGAGTATTTACTGTATATGCTAAACATAATTTATCTAGCTTATGTCAGCAAAAATGTTAACAGAGAGATATTGGAAGTTCCAACGTATTATTTATGAAGAAAAAAAAAGCAAATTACGCAGGCAAAAATGTAACATTAGTCTTCCAAACCATAACAGTATCAATGTTCCAAAGCTATTTTCTTACCAACTATCCATTCATTATCAGATGAGAATAAAATACATGATCCTGTTTCCTACATTATCTCTGCCATCTACTACAATTAATTAAGTCAGATGATTCTAACTTTCTAAATGCACTTTTAAGCGCTACTTATCTGTATAACGAAATTGCATTTCACTTTTAGAGGAATAGTAAACAAATTACAATAAATTTTACAAACCTTTATTATAAAACAATTTGATGTTTAGTAATTTTACCCAGCTATTGTCAGTCTTCTGGGAATATATTCGATTACGTTACGAAGCTCCGTAACTAAGATGCATATTCGTCTAAGGATACTCTTTCCTTTTAATCAATTTAACTTCATATTTGATATTTACTAAGAGGTAATCCTATCTTAAATCTGGGATCTGTTTTCTGTACTTTTCCATTTGCAATACATTAAATTTACTTTTTTTTTCGTTTGTAATACTTTAAAATTTAGCTTTATACATCGACCTAAAAAACGCTGATAGTCGGTAGAGAAAATAAGAATTCTTATACATTATGGATTTTCTTAAGACCATTTCTAAAGTGAACTTGCATTTTCATTAGTTTTAGTAAAATATTAAGCACAGTTTTACTGCATTTTTTTAAAGAAAACAATAAAATAAAGTACACAGATAACGTTTAACTGTGTACTTTACTATTGCTTTATTTATATTTATTTTTATTGTTATTTATATTTAGTAGCCCAAAGGGCGTTAGCCTAGAAGAGCTATTCATTTGGTTTTGGCCCTTTGCGTCGATTCACTTTCTGCTTCGATTCGCTTTTCAAACTGTTGCCACCAACTATTACAGCCCTGCATTACATTTGAAGAAATTAAATAATGAAAAATCTGCATAAATGTCTGTATATTTCTCGCATTGGGATAAAACAACGTTACATAGAGGCATCGAATTCTTAATAACGTAATTCTCCGGCGAATATGGACATTTAGAAGTCCTAATTTTGAATTTGTTTCATTACCTATTTCATATTTTGTCAGACATTAAGTAATTTTTGATTAAGAAACCCAACGATTTCAACCCGAGGAATGACAACACTGTACGAAAAAAAAAAAAAAAAAAAAAAAAAAAAAAAAAAAAAAAAAAACATTTTTATCTCTAGCCCGTTTGACCGTCTATCTGGAGTTTTAAAAATATGCTCATTTAAAAATAATTTTGCGATATTGCTGTTGAACTGAATTTTATGGTTTAAGTGCGAAGAACATGATGTTTAATAAATAAAGGTAGCACACAAAACATAAAAAAAAACACCACCCCTTTGGGCATCATGTAAAATCTGAAAGCTTTCAGACTTTTTTTATTATTTATATTTATTTTATACTTTATTATTACATTATTTATAATTGTTTCTTAGGACAGTATAATGATTGGCAAAGGATTTTTGCTAAACCGAAATTAGGATCTAAATTCGATTCTCGCCCTATGCAGATAAGCTGTAATTATGTTCTTTTATTTTCTACCTGTTCGCGGGTGAAATATCGGTTTCCTCTTGAAATGTAGTACCCTCTATCGCATTCTTAGTGATGAGAGGACTAAGCGACCGAGTGCTTTGTCCATTTCCAATGAATGCGAAACTGTTATGAATATATATCCGAAACAAAATATTATAGTTAAAATATTTTTGATAGCTAACTCGATCAAAATGGATAAGAAAGTGATCTCAAAAGAGTATATAACGTATATTTTCTATGTATTTGTTTCAAATGATCTTCTGATTCTCCGTATTTTCTATTTGAGAAGTGAGATTTTATCTGATTTACCACAATGCGAATGCCAGGGCTTGGAGACAAGTAATTAATTACTGCATATCAAATACGAGACAAGACAGTGACTTGTCGCTGAATTCAAACTCTGGACCATCTAAATCCTCTGCAGTTAGTCCCACAGGATCCACGCCTGTCACGCATCGCAAATAGTGATTGGACACTATTCATAAGTAATTAGCTAGCTCAATTTTGCAGTAACCGTAGTTAAACCTAACCAGTAGTTGAAACTAATGCTATGATGGTCTGCAGAGTGGCGTTAAAAAGAGTTTAAATTGAAGTTTATTTTCGTCTTGCTTGAACAAGTTTATTGGAAGAAATGTTAGGAGAAATACATTGTACTTACCCATCCGATGTCATGCTTGACACTTTATAACTGAGTCTGTGAGAGTTTCTACTTTTGCTGGCTCTTCTTTCTCTGTGAGATGGCGTGCTGGCCCTGACGGCATGGACCGGAATGATACCTAAATTTGAAAATAAATAAATAAGTAAATAAATAAAATTTGAAAGGTTTCAGATTTTAACGGTCGCCCAAAAGGTTTGGTAAGGTTTTTTACGCGCTGAGATCGCAGTCTACCAGTCTGCTGTTACATTCACTCCTACTAACCCATTTTTTTTGTCTTTTTAGCTTTATAATTAAGCATCATTTTCTTCGCACTTAAGCTATATACAGTTCAAAAGCAAAATTACAAACGCTTTAACAGCAGCATAGCAGTATATGTTTAGAATTCTCGATGCGCCACTATGTGTCGGCATATATTTTTCTGTTGTTTTTATATTCCTACTATTAGCTCACACTCTCCCTATATCTTGTTCAGATTTCCAATCGTTAATAAAATATTTTTTATTCATCCACTCAAGTTTAGATACATTTTTTAAACTTGTAGAGGATGATTTAAAATTTTTTTTTGTATTTAAAAATTTTTCTTTGTTCACCTATGGAGAAATTGACTTAATTTTTTATTTAATTACTTATTAATTAATTAATTATTTTCAAATCTTTTAAAAAAAAGTACTTTTTATTCATCCACTCAAGTTCAAATAAATTTTTTAAACTTGTAGTGGATGACACTTGATGTTAATACAGTTTTATCACAAATTAAAAATTATTTTTGTATTAAAATTTTTTTTTTGTATTTTTAAAATTTTTCTATGTTGACTTCAATGGGAATTGACTGAATTTTTTTAATATTACTTGTTTTTAAAGTCTTTTTTCAGTTCATCATACTAATGCCCAGTTTTCTTACTAAGATGGCTTTACAAACTTTTTTTTTTTGTCTTTTTAATATAAACGTTTAGTGTGTTTACCTTATTTATTAAATGTCACATTCTTGGCGCTTACATAAAATTCTATTCAACGGCGAAATATTTAAAACATCATATCTTTAGAATTTCCGATAGACAGTCTCGCTCATTGCAGTTAGAAATATTTTATTCCGTACAGTATTGCCACTGCTCGCTTTGAAATCGTTGATTTTGTTAATTAAAATTTCGTTAAAGTTTCACAAAATATGAAGGAGACAAGGAAACAAATTCGAAATTCCAAATTTGGGGTTCCAAGTGCCCATGTTCGGGTGCAGGACTACGTTATTTAAAATTTTATGGCTCGGTACCGTTGCTTTTCACAATGTTAGAAACGTACATATATTTATGCAGATTCTTCATTATTTAATCTCTTTAAATGTAATACAGAGCGATAATTTTTGGTAGTAACAATTTGAAGTGTGAAACGGACATTTATAGTGAACCACACGTTATAAAGCTAATTATCCTACAAGTAATAATAGCCATACTGATTTCCGAAATTTACGCTTTCGTACTGTTCAAGCACCTGAAATTATCTTTCGATTAGGAAATTGTACATATTCTGAAATGGTTAATTCATCGGTATTGCACTCCTCGAAGAGCAACACTAATCCAACGAGCGGCTAAGATAATCTTCAACAACATTAAGAAAAGTATGCTTTGAGCAGTTTTGAAATTAAGACTAACTTCTTAATGCGACATATAACTTCTTTTTTGCTTATCATGCACTTTTCATTTAGATTGCAATATAAAATTTTGAGAATAATAGGGTATAACGAATCTAGTGAAATATACAGCGTGGCTATAATTAAAATTCCACTTTGAAACGGTCATTAAAGGAAATGTACTGGACCAACTGTTATCAAACTTGGTAGTCTACAGATGCAGTGATTTAATTATCGAGTTTGTAGAGACTGTTAGAGAAATATCTGATAGAAAAATGTCTAATATTTAGAATGAATTCCTGAGTACTCTGCAGATGCAGTAATTTAATTATTACTACTTATATCAGATAATCTATTATTATTTCTATCAGATAATTAATTATCACTTCTATCAGATAATTATTGTACTTGTAGTGACTGTTAGAGGAATATCTGGTAGAGAAATATTTAGAATGAATTGCTGAGTACTCTACAGATGCAGTAATTTAAGTACTGTACTCGTAGAGATTGTTAGAGGAATAGGTGTTAGAGAAAAGTCTAATATTTAGAATGAATTGCTCAGTAGTCTACAGATGCAGTAATTTAATTACTGTAGTTGTAAAGACTGTTAAAGAAATATCTATTAGAGAACTGTCTAATGTTTAGAATGAATTGCTGAATACTCTGCAGATGCAGTAATTTAATTATTGTACTTGTAGAGACTGTTAGAGGAATATCTGTTAGAGAAATGTCTAATAGTTAGAATGAATTGCTGAGTACTCTACATATGCAGTAATTTAATTATTGTACTTGTAGAGACTGTTAGAGAAATGTCTAATATTTAGAATGAATTGCTGAGTACTCTACAGATAACAGTGATTTAATTATTGAGTTTGTAGAGACTGTTAGAGAAATATCTGATAGAGAAATGTCTAATATTTAGAATGAATTGCTAAGGTTTATTAATTTTTTACAGAGCGAAGCAAAATTATGAATTAATTGTTGATACAATTTTAATATTAAAATTAAGATGTAAGTCGCATTTAATTTGTTTAAACAGTTATTTTATGTTCAAAATCTTTACTGTCACTTCTCTCTTTCTGTTTTCCCGCCAGAATACAAAGTAACTTGCGTGTATTTAAATGGAGGTCTGAGCTTGAGGAGTCAGAGCGTGTTTTGGCTAGTGAAGGCCACGTTGCTAGATGGGCTGTTCTAAGACAATAATTCCTGCCTTAGGCTGTGAATTATAACTGCAGAAAGTATTTCATGCTGGTAAAACTTTAACAGCTAACTTCGCGATTAATTTACTATAGGTAGCTTTTGGCTATTTAAATTTAGTTTTACCCTGAAATTCTATTTTGAGTTCTTGCCATAAATGCTGGCTGACTTGTAAGCACCAGGTGAGCCTCCTGTTAATCTTACTTAGTTTTAAATAAAGTGTCTGTTAAACCCAAGTCTCTGTAGTAATTTGCAGACATAGCGATAAGTCAGTTACAGTCTAAGTGCTTTAACAATCATGTTAATGATAAATAAAAGTCATGCTATACTTTAAGCAATGTTATTCCTTAATAACGAAAATTTTATTATTTAAGGACTCTTTTGAGTTCTTTCCAGAATAGTAACATTTTAGAAACGATTTGATATGCGCAAAAAATTATAATAGAAATTTTAGGTAAGCCGGTTTTGTAATTTATTTAATGAAGTTGTCCCTAAGTACTTTTTGAGTCCCAGCCTATTTATGGAATCCCTAATTGAGAGGCAATTTTCCATTTCCATCTAAATATCGATGAATATTCGTCATCATTATGTTTGATCACCAAGCCGGAAATGAGCATTTGAGGCAAAAATTACATAGCAGATGTAGACAACGCACAAAATATATTCGGGAATAAAGAAAACTGTAATTATTTTCCCATTTTCTAAAGAAAACCACATACTTTTCCAGATTATTGCTTGGGGACCTACCTACGGTTAAATGTACTATAATAACAATTTTGAATAGGGCCATACCTGAACAATCATTTTGCTAAATAATACAGTAGTGCTTAGTCGGCGAATGGATGAATACATACTGCGAATTCCATTAAAGAACTGTTAAAATCTACTTAACTTCTATTATTATCACGAACTTCAAAGCTAAGAATAATTCTCAACTCAAAGTCATATTTTGTTTCCTACGTAGACTTCAATACCGATTTTTAAATAACGGAAAAGTTAATTAAGACATAGGTATTATTTTAAACACTTTACACTTTTTTATATTGCCTTTTATGCTTTAGCTTTATGTACACCCTGAGAATAGAACAAAAAAAAGGGGGGGGGAAGGTCAGCTCTCATTCTAGACCGATTGACAAAATTTAACTTGCTTTTCTCATGTCTGGAAAGCACGACTTAGGATATATATATATATATATTAAATCTATATTGTTCTAACATACGCATTCTAATATAAATTTATTTTTCTAAACTGCCATACCTATTTTTTTTTTTTTTTTCATATTTCGATTCTGCAATTCAAATCATGCCAAAGTGCCAAACTTTGTAAAAATCGCCCGAGTAGTTTTTAAAAAAATTAGCTCTTCAATGTTAATTGAATTTAATATATATTTATTAATATCCCTTTTTGTATTAAACTGACTTTATTCCTTCTTTAAAATTTTGAAATTGAGATTCAATCCAAATAAAATTTGCAGCTAATTTCCGATTTGTTTTTAAAGTTTGTATTTTTAGTAATTTTTATAAATTTTTCGAAAAATGTTTTGAATTACAACTTAAAATTTTTTTTGCCGTCATCTTAAAGTGGATGTATTTCTAAGCATACCTGCCAAAAATAGAGTTTTTGTTCAAAAGTTTCCAAGATATACGTGAATTTATATATTGGCGCATTTTGAAATTTGACGTATTTCTTATAAGCGATAATAACGCCAAATGTGATTCACGGACTCTGTTAAAATTATTTGAAAGAATAAAGGATGCACTTTTTTTCCCTCTAATCCACAATGAAAGGGAAAATAAACAAAGTTACGTTAAACTGAGAATTCACGAGCTAAGAATTCTTGGCCCAAACTGAAAAAAAGGGGGGGGGCAAGATAAATTTTTGAATTTCTCGTTAAGTTTGTCACGAAAGCTTAGAAAGTGTAATATTTAGGCATAATTTGAATCGTAAAATTGAAATATGGAAAAATATTAATACCTCCTTGAAGAAAAAAGGCAGATTTTGTTTGAAGATACCTACGCTAGAACAGTACTGTATATAAAGCTAATATATATCCTAAGTCGTGTTTTCAAGACATGAAAAAAAAAATTAATTTCTTCAATCGATCCAGTAGAACGGGAAATAAAAAACTGTCCAATTTTTATTTTATTTTATTTATTTATTATGCAGAGTGTCTTATGACTTCTTTCACATATCTGCGACTAATATGAAATTCATATTAACAGAAATGGCAGCACGTGCAAACACCTAGGTTAGTCGAGATGAATCCGTGCAGACAATCGGAGTTTTTCTTCCATAT